TTAAAAAAAAAAGTTATAGTGTATTTACACAATGGAATACTACTCCACAATCAAATGGATAAACTCATGCCATTTGTGGCAACATGGATGGAGCTAGAAGGGATTATGCTAAGCAAAATAAATCAGAAAGAAAAATATATAAATATCATTTGGCTTCACTTATATGTGGACTACAGAGAAATCAAACAAAGGGACAGGAAAAAGAAAAAACTTACAAACTGGCCATAAATCTAAGGCATTCAGCAGGGGACGGGGAAAGAGGGTGAAAATGGGAAGCAAGAGCACAGGGGACTGTGATGATAGATCACAGTGGTGAAAAACTATGGGGACTAAGCCTGAGAGGAGAATCAAACACTGCACAAAAACTAACAGTGTAAGAAAATAAGTAAATATTTAATCTTTTTTTTTTTAAAGAAATGCAAGGAGTCAGTCTGAGACAGATCACCAGCCTCTACAGATTCTTGCATTGGGGAGGGCGCCCTGGCCAGGTAGTAGGTTTGTTAGGCCTTGAAGTCCTCTGGCTCCAGGCTTATGTCCAGATACGATGATTCTGCCCAGCTGGGAGGCCTGGGTCTGCCACCTATGGGGCCCTGGGAACTCCTCCCCTGACCCTTAACCCCTAGGTCAATATTGAAGATCAAAAAGTTGATTTGGGTCCAGGATCACCAGACCTTTAACTTAAGAGTCAGGAGTGCAGGGAGTGAGGCCTGAGGGACCCAGAGGGCATCTCTTGGCCCAGGAAGAGGATGAAGAGAGAGGACACCAGGTTCTGGCTCCAAGGTATGGAGAAGGGGGAAGGGGCCACTTTCCAGGCTCCAAAAGGTGGGTGGTCTCACCCTGGGCACCTTAGGTATGGGGTGTGGACACCTGCCCTGGAGCGTGAGGATGGGGAGACACAATCCCTTTTAGGGAGAAGTGAGTCAGCAGTCACTGGCCCTTCTCCTGGCTGATCCCCATGTGGCCACCTCAGACTCCATCTCCTCCCACCCCTGCCCTCTGTGCTCCCGAACATGGAGACCAAGGCCTGGGCCACTGCTGCTGGTGCAAGGGCTCCTGGTGCCTGAGACGGTGTCCAGGGCCTGAAGGCTGTGAGCTGAGATGGACTCAGACTGGGCTGTGAGGTCCCAGCACAGGGAGGGGCTGTCCCCAGCAGGCAACACAGGCCTTGGGCTCCCCCTCTCTGGGCTCCTTGATTCTCCCTGTCACCCCAGCATAAGGGCACTTTGCTCTGCAAGAGGGAGCACTAAATTACCCTCTTTATCTTCTTTTCCCTTTCTTCCCTGTGTGTTTGAATTTTACCATCTGTCTATGCATAGCGAAGGTCTTACACTAAAGTAAAGTTTCCCAGCTGATCACAAAGCAGCCTCTGTGTGGTCACAGCCCAACTGACAGCAGAGACTCTCCCAGCCCCAGCCAGAGCCCCTGGGCTCTCCCCACACAGACCAGCCCTCCCACCCAGGTGCCCACTAAGCTGACCCTTCCCTGTCTCCTCCCCCTCCACTACTGTCGGCCTCCCTCCCCTAAAGCCCCTATTTCCTCTCTCTCCTCACTCCTCAAGGAGCCTCCCCCTCTTCCTGGCCCATGACCCTGGGGGTCTCTCCTCCTGGCCCTCTTCCAGCCCTAGGGATGGAGGGATTAGTGCTGATTCCCTGGAGGAGGAGCCTTCATTCCTGGAGTCAGCAGCTGGAACAAGTGACAGGGACTCTGGGTCAAGGTGACATCCCAGGAGACTGAGGGCACCTGGTATGTTTGTGGGGCCCACCCTGGTCTTTAGAGCCAGCTGTTATGGCCTGGGGATCTGCACCTGCCTGAACCAAAGTCTGTGGTGATTAGCTGACAGGGACCATCACCTCAGAGTGTATTAGGAAACAAGTCAGATGCAGAACCTGAAGTTGTATGGGGCTCCCCCTTATGTGCACAGCCCTGTCCTTCTGGGAGACCCTGAGAACCTGGGAGATCACAGGGTTCTCGCCCTCTGTCCTCAGCCCCGTGGCCACACGGGGGCGCTGCGGCGCTGTCCTAGTCTGGCAGCCAGGGGAGAGGCTGGGTGTGTGTGACTCAAGGCTGAGAGGGTGAGCTGGGGCTGAGCATCACTGGGGGAGGGGGTGAGATGCCCCTTGAGCAGCCTTGGCTCCAGGCTGGGGTGGAGGGAGTGGGGAAGAGGAGAGGAGGCTCTGGAGCTGCCCTGGGTCTGAGGCGCCATCTTCTCTCCCCACAGCCTCTCTCTGCAGCCCCTTGATGACCACACCCTGGAGACTGCAAAGCAGATGATTTTCTCTTCCACTCCCTGTTCCTTTCCTGAGGGCTACATTCTAATGTTTTTATTTTAAAATAATATATTTTGTAATAAATTTGTATTTGGTAATAAATAAAATTTGGTACAAGATCCCTGTATATCCCACACCCTTTTCCCTGTTAACATGGATATCTCTATCTTATCTGTACAACTAATGGGACAATAGTCACATGTTATGAATAATCCCCATACCTGATTTAGGTGTCATTAGTATTTCTTTTTGCTGTCCCAGGCTCCCATCCTGATGTCACATTAAGTCCCAGTCATGTCTCCTGAGGCCCCTTGGCTGAGTCAGTCTCTCATACTCTCCTTGGTTTTGATGATCTTGGCATTTAGGGGAGCATTGCTCAGGTGTGTTGTAGAAGGGCCCTCAGTGTGAGCTTGGCTGACTGGGGTGATGGGGTTGGGGAAAAAACAGAAGCATGAAGGGCCCTTCTCAGCACAGCACCCTGGAGAGTCACCTGCACTTGATTCTCACTGATGATGTCACCTTCCCCCATTGGTTGAGGTCGGGTCTCCACTTCCTCCCTGGGAAGTTCTTTCTTTCCTGGGTGGCTTTCCACACAGCAGTGGTTGGAAGGAGTCACCATGTGGAGGCCACACTTAAGGGGTGCTCTACTATAAACACTTGTGTGTGTTCTAGAGTATTTATGAATCCTCTGTGTGTGCGTAAATAAGAAATATTAGTAATTATCAAAATCATTTATTATTAAAAATAAATTGTACAACAAACCCTGACACTATCAAACACTTGGCAGATCCCCCTCAGTCACGTGTTCTCAGGCTCTGACCCTCTACTCCAGGACACGCCATCTTGTCACTGAATGATTCTGCCTTAGAATTTCTACCTGACCAAGGTGGGCTTGGTGGATGGACACCCCTTCCCACTGAAAGAGCTAAAAATGTGAGATATGTGTGAGATACAAAATAATTTTCTTAAAAGCGTTAGAACTTACAACATAGTAATAAACACCCAGAAGAGAAGGGTGAGACCCTGCATGGGCCCCACAGAGAACAGCATCCTGAGGATGGGAGGAGGGAGTGTGAGGGCCCTGCCCAGAGCAGACAAGAAGCCCAGCTCTCAGCTCTGCGCTGAACCTGATGACCAACAACCATCGTCTCTTTCAAAATTTAGGAAGACCTGGTATAGTCTGCCTATGATACATGTGTGCATATACATACATAGATATAGTAAAGTCCTTAGGATATAGTCTGTGTTCACGATAAAAAATATAAAATGTTGCAAACAAAGCATTTTCAGACCAGGAGGGAGTAAAAAACACTGTTAGCTGTTGCTCACAATGAGAAACAGAAAAGCACTGAAATGAGGCCTCAAGTGTGGAGATGACTCATCATTGTCAACCTTCCCCAGGCAGGGCCAGCACCTGAGCCCAGAGGAGAAGGGCTGCACAGGAGGGAGCAGGAGGGAGGGAGTATGGATGTGGACAGAGTCCACTCTGTCCAGTATGAAGAGCTGTGGGGTCCTGGCCAGGGAGGCTCAGGAAAGCAGGGAGCATCTCCTCAAGCATGACAGAAAGAATCTGGACACAAAGTAAACCCAGTTTCTGATGACATAGAGCACATATAAGTCACTTCTGCCACAATCCAAAGTGCTATGTCCCAAGGAAACTAATTTGTGTGAGGTGAATTAGAGGTGTGGGAGGAGGGCACTACCATCTTTACCAGAAAACATGAATGACAAAAACTATCATTCTTTAGATTTGATTAACCTGTACATACTTTCTAGACAATGAATGTGAGCTGTCCCTTTAAGAAAACCAACTGAGGGCTTCCCTGGTGGTGCTGTTGGTTGAGCACCTCACTGTGAAGCTGTCTGAAGCCTCTGTAGTGCAGGTCAATCCCACCTGGCCAGTGAGAATTCCACAGGGTGAAGCAGACCTCTCCGGTCTTGCTTGCTGCTCCCCTTAGCAGTGTATTTCAGTCAGTCTGCCTGTTCTGTTCCCTGCTCTGTCTCTGGTGAATCCTCTCACCCTCCTGCAAATTTGGCCTGTACCCTGATTCTTGCATAAATAAATAAACCTTAAAAAAAATTAAAAAAAAAAAGAAAAACTGACAGTTGATAAATGATAGTAATTAACTGCCTTGATAAAGGACAAGCTCCAAGTAAAAACCAGGTAGTGAAAATTGTGTCTCATTGCTGTAAACTTGACAACTTCCTCTTACTTCTCTTTGAGGATCTTTGGAATGGAAAACATGTACGATTTTCAAAATTTGATTCTTGAATAGTTAACATAAAGATCATATAACCTGATTAAAAAATGCTTAGCTTTTTAAAATCATGTATTAATTCAAGATTAATAATCAGTAGAGGCCTATGGAATTAATGTAAGAGAACAGAAAACATTCAGTGATACTGTTCTACCACTCACTTTGCAAATACCATTTAAAAAGCCACCACTTGTATAGTTTCAATTTATTGCAGAAGTGGAACAAAATTGAATAGTCACAATTATCTGAAAGTTACTTAAAATGCTCTTTTCACATATTTCAGATAGACTGTATCTTTTTTCATTGGCCCACCAAAACAAAGAGTAAATGCAGGAGAGAATATGACAATCCAACATTCCTCCAGTGAGACAGAGAGGAAAAATAATTGCAAAAATAGAAGCTCTGAAAGATCCACTCATGACACTGATTATTTTCATTAGAGCTGGAGACTAGGAACGCGAAGTCCAATGCACAGATGTTCCCAGGGAACCTGCGCGCCCTGCGCAGCTGCTACAACCAGAGCAAGGCCCGGCAGCTCAGGACCCCCATCCCCGCGGACAGGCAGGGAACCCCAGACCGCGGGTCCAAGTGTCACCCCTCGACCCAGGACTAGCCCGCGGGACGTTACCCCGTGAGATTTCCATTTCAGTTTAGGTTTATTCCCGGCTGGAGGGCGGGCTGGCGGGGTGACCCCGGGCTGGGGACAGGCTCTCACATGCTCCAGGGGATGTACGGCTGCGACCTGGGGCCCAACGGGCGCCTCCTCCGCGGGTACCATCAGTTCCCCTACAACGGCGCCGATTACCTGGCCCTGAACGGGGACCTGCGCTCCTGGACCAGGGCGGACACCGCCGCTCAGATCTCCTGGCGCAAGTGGGAGGCGCCTGAGGCGCAGAGCAGGAGAGGAACCACCTGGAGGGCAGGTGCGTGCAGTGGCTGCGCAGACACCTGGAGATCTGGAAGGAGACGCTGCAGCGCTCAGGTAAGAGGGGCCTTGAGGTCTCCCAACCTCCCTCAGGCCAGCACTGCAGGGAGGGTGGAGTCAGGGTCACAGCAGCGCCCCCTCTTTGGTCAGGGGAGGAGGAGCCCCCTGGGTTTCCTGACTTCCCAGAGGACCCCACTTCTCCTCAGAACAGTTAAGGAATCCAGTCTCTCCTGAGCCTGAGGGGAGACCAGCCCTCGCATCACCCTTCACCCAATCCTTTTGACCCGGCAGCCCTCTTGGGAACCATCAGTTTCTCCCTCAGTGTCTTTTTACTGGTCAGAGGACATTTTTCTGATCTGACTCTGCTTTTCTGAGTCCCCAGGTCAGGAGCAAAAGCCTGTGCTCTCCTCCCTAGAGAACTGTGTCCTCCTACACAAAGTTGTCTCCCTAATTCTAGACATTCTAAGGAATAAGTATTATCCCAGACTCCCCACACCAGGCTGGTTTCTAGATTTTGTGCTTCCTCTTTCCAAACCCACTGCCCTGTCCATTCTGAGGATGGTCACAGGAGGGTTTTTTAGGGGTATGACACAAAAACACAAAGTGTGAAAATTCTCAGCCTTCTCCTCAGATCCCCCAAAGACACATGTGACCCACCACCCCACCTCTGAGCATGAGGTCACCCTGAGGTGCTGGACCCTGGGCTTCTACCCTGCAAACATCACCCTGACCTGGCAGCAAGATGGGGAGGACCTGACCCAGGACAGAGAGCTGGTGGAGACCAGGCCTGGGGGGAACAGAAACTTCCAAAATTGGGTGGCTGTGGAGGTACATTCTGGAGAGGAGCAGAGATACATGTGCCATGTGCAGCATGAGGGGCTGCTGGAGCCCGAGTCCTGACTTGAGGTAAGGAGGGAACATGGGCACAGAGCTTCTCAGGGGCATCAGGAGCCCTTCTGGAGACCTTCAGAAGGTCAGGATAAGGCCTGGGGCTCAGGGTCTCCCCTTCCAGTCCCTTCCAGTGCCCCCTCCTCAACCCACCGCCCCTACTGACTCCACCGACCCCACTGTGGACATCATTACTGGCCTGGTTCTCCTTGGAGCTGTGCTCACTGGAGCTGCAGTGGCTGCAGCTGTGATGTGGAGGAAGAAACACTGTCGAAAGCCAGCTCCGGCAAAATGTCGTGTCAGGGGTTCCTGAAAAGATGAGATGGCCTCGAAATGGAGAGCTGAGGGGAGGGAGGAAATGAAGTAGATGAGGTAGTGAGGAGACCCTGACATTTGATGAGGTGCAAGTATCTCCTGCTGAGGGTCTCAGCAGGCCTTTATACAGCACAGCAGACAGTGAGATTACATCAACATAAGCAATGAAGCGAAAGAAAATCATTACATATTTTCTCATGGGCATATGGAGACCCTCTTGGTCTCATACCAAAAAGGGCACTTCTTAGATCACCTTAAGAAAATCATCAGGACAATTAGTTTTCTTGGTGCAACTCATTTTCCCAGCATGATCAATTACCTAAGACAGCACAATATTCGGTAACAATTAATCATCCTTTCAAGCTTCCTTATACCGGAGTGGGCGTGGAAGTCCTATCCTATATTCTGTTACTTAAATCAACCTATCTCCCTAGCACACAAATAATCTAGCTAATTTATCAATTAATTCAAAGTGGCCTAAAGTAACTCATCGAATCTATTTTAATTCTACAGAAGTCTAACTCTTAACTAGAAATATCTAACCTCCACACAACCTGCGAACTATTGACCTTTTGCATACAGCAGTAAATGTACTGCTGCCGCAAACACCTACCCCCGGGGTTAAGCTATGGTTTCCAAGCACAGCTGGTATAGGGCAGCTTGTTCTCCATAGTTCTCAGGGCCAAAACATTTCTTTCCTAACTATACCTTTAGCAATTTTTACTTTCTTTTGTAATAATTCAAGCGTAAGAACAACAGGCCAATTAACGCTTTGGTACGAATTAGGTTTTCACAAGCCAATTTATAACTAACTTAATTTTGCATTAACCAAGAACAAACAGAAGAGTATTAGTAGGCATTGCTCTGGAAACTCCCTTATTCAGATCTTCTGGAAAGTGCAGAAACTCCCCTCTTTCAGGAGTCTCCCCCAATGCCCAGGCCTTGTCAAGAGACAGCATGGGTAGTGCAGCCTAGAGCAAAACACTCAGGTAGGGGAGTGGTGGTGGGGGAATGGATCTTGTCTGCTGGGGGGCTTTCAGGCCACAGGTAGCACTTGCCTTACCTGGTAATGGGAAGTACCATCCACACATTTGAGTTGCCCAGTCTGGAACTGATTGCTAACTCTCTTTTGTAAAGCATTTTTGAAAATGAATCACATTGTTCACCTTGATAATTCTGGTGCTAGGGACCTGATTCCAGCAAATGGCAGAGGGGAAGGTCCCTGCTGAGGGCAGACCACAGCAGGCAGTTGGTCCAGTGCCCTCTTATCTCCCTTCTTCATATTTCCTGGTCTTGCCCTAAGTGTCCAGTCACAGTTCTGGAAACTTCCCTGTGGTCCAGACTTGGAGATTCCTTTATGACGTCATAGCCTGACTCCTCCCTGGTCTCGTATGCTTCTTCCATAGGAGGACAAGGAGGAAGATACTGTCAGGCTGCAGGTAAGTGTGGATCAGGGGTTTGATTCCTGAGCCCCTGGGGACAGTGTAGATGGAGCCTATGGGATGGGGGAGTCACCCATCAGTCCCATCTGTGGCCTCATCTCTGTGACTCTGGCCAGGTTCTGTTTTGTTCTCCCCCAGGCAGCGACAGCGCCCAGAGCTCTGATGTGTCTCTCAGCCCCTAAAGGTGAGACCCTGGAGGCCTGCAGTGGGAGGGGCTGGGGTGCTGCAGACAGGACAGCTGATGAAGTTCTCTGCCATTGATGAAGACTTGGAGTCTAAATGAATTTGCAGCAGGGGAGGCTGGGGAGAGCCATTGAGAGCATCTCTGCCTTTCACTCGCCCAGCCCAAGCTTTTATTGAAGATATGAACAAAGGAACAAGAAAATAGCATGCAATTGCATTTGCGCTTATACAGATGAATAAATTATTGCTGGAACAAGCTTTCCTGGTTAGTGGGGAACTTGCACACACGCTAGCATGTCCTCAGAGAACTCCTGTACCCAAGAGTCAATTCTGGGAAGTTCTCTTTGCAGCACTTCTAATGTTCTGGTACTCCCTATGCAGAGTAAACAGATGTTCTCCAAAAACCCCAGCTCCCTTTAGAGGAGCAGTCTCCCAACACTGGGGCAGAGAGGACGGGACCAGGTTATGGGGAAGCTGTGAGGGGGACATTCTGAGGATGCGGTTGACTATGGAGAATGTCAACACTTACGTGTTACTTGTGATCCTTTTCCTTCACAGTGTGAGCCAGCTGCCTGGTGGGGGCTGAGTGATGCAGGATTTCTTCTCATCCGCACTTTGTGACTTTAAGATCTTCTGGTTTCGTTTGCTGCAAAGGGCATCTGAATGTGTCTCTGTTCTTATGAGATAATGTGAGGAGGTGGGGAGACTGGCCCAGCCCTGCCCACCAGACCCCTCCGCACACTGACCTGTGTCTCTCCGTAAAATAGCTTAGTCTGTGTCTACCCTGTCTTTGTGTTTTGCTCAAGAATAGTAACTACTTCCCTCTTGAAATAATAAATGAGTTCTGAAATTAGTTTTTGGGAGCTTGCCTGATCGATTTGGGGGATAATAAAAATGATTCCTAAAATTTGAGATGAAATAAATGGGAATCCTGGGCCTCCCCGGTGGCGCAGTGGTTGAGCGCTGGGTTGCGAAGCTGCCCGCAGCCTCTGCAGTGCCGGTTCGATCCCCGGCTGCTCCCCGGCCACCGGAGGAGGGTCCCACATGGCGCGCAGACCTCTCCTGCCGCCCGCTGCTCCCCTCAGCAGTGTACTTCGGTCCTTCTGCCTGCTCTGCTCCCCGCTCTGGCTCTGGTGAATTCTCTCACCCTCCCGCACTTCTGACTGTACCCAGTGCTTGCATAAATAAAAATAAATAAATCTTAAAAAAAAAAAAAGAAAGAAATGGGAAACCTTCCAGAATTACGTATTTGCTGTCCTGAGCCTGTGCAGGTGGGGCAGGAGATGCTGTAAGGAGCCGAGGGGGACGGGGCCTGTGTCCAATCGGGGCTCAGTGTGTCATGGGCTTAAACTGGTCACTCGTCAGAGGTCGTGTCTCTGCTCCTTTGTCCTTGTCCTTTAGTAGCACCTGTCCCAGCAGGGCCTGTGATCACAGGGACTCAGACCCCACCTGGCCTTGTGCTGTCATGTCTGGGCCGGGAGTGCTTGTGGGGCTGGGTCCGCCCAGGCTTAGCTCAGGGTCTAGCCTTTCTATGGATTCCTATTTGCTACTTTGGCTTTGTTTGTTTGTTTGTTTTTGATTTGTGTCTATTCTTTTTTTTTTAAAGATTTATTTATTTATTTATACGTGCACTGGGTAGAGTCAGAAGTGCAGGAGGGTGAGAGAATTCACCAGAGCCAGAGTGGGGAGCAGAACAGGCAGACTGACGAAGTACACTACTGAGGGCAGCAGCAGGCGAGACAGGAGAGGTCTACCACGCCATGTGGGTATCTCCCTGGCCAGCCAGGAATCAAACCTGTGCTGCAGAGGCAACAGACAGTTTCAAAGCTCTCTTTTCAACCCGCTGCACCACCAGAAAGGCCCAGAAATGATAAATTTCTAACTACTTCTGAGCAAATGGCCTGGCTCACTGGAGGGTTATGGTGGGAATGGGGTGTTATTTATTTTGCTATATAAATTCTTGAGTATAAAATTTTCTTCTGTGCTCATGAAATAATACTTTTAAGATTAAATCCTACTACAATCTCTTCAACTATATAACACTTCACAGATAATGTCTTAATCACATGCTAAGCCCAGAGCAGCATGTCTGTCATATGATGAACCTGCTCATCATCATCTTTCATGGCCTATGGCTGCACATTTGGGTCACCCTTGGTGGTGTCCATGCTGCGGATTTTAGACAAGTGTACAATGATGTGGATACCATATTGTGTTGTACACAGTAGACTCACTGCCCTCGATATCGTCTGTGCTCCATGGAAACAGAAGCAAAGAGAGACCAGTGGAGCCACATCAAACTGCAAGCTCCTGCCCAGCGAAGGAACTGTCATTACATGTAAAGAAACCCTATGGGGGAGAGACATCTTGCATGTCATACATTCAAGATGTATGAATAATACATATAACTCAACACCCAGAAAACAGCCCTATCAAAAATGGGGAGAGGAGCTAAGTGGACACTTCTCCAAAGAAGATACAGATTGCCACAGGCACACGGAAAATGCTCCCTTCACACGTCATCAGGGTATACAGATCAGAACCACAATGAGACAGCATCTCCCACCTGTGAGGGGCTCATATTAACAAGACCAGAGACAACAAGTTTTGGCAAGGTGTTGGGGGAAAGGAACCTTCACGGTATGGCATTTCCTCAAAATATTAAACATAGATCTGCCAGAGGACCCAGCATCCACTCCTTGGGGTTTATCCAAAAAATTCAAAACTCATGTCAAGGGCTATGTGCACTCTTGTGTTCATTGCAACAATATTTACAATAGCCAAATTATGGAAACAATCTATGTGCATAAAATAGATGATGAGAACTCTTGTGGCAGGTCCATGAAATCTTGAATTTACAACAACATGGATGGAAATAGGTAAAAGTGTGCTAAGTGACATAAATCAGGAGAGCCACAAATACCAGATGACATGACTCATATGTGCAATATACAGAAACCAGCAAAGGAACAGAGAAATCCTAATCAAGACCATGGAGTCTGGCTGCAGAGTGGAGGCTCCCAGAGGGGCTTGAGTGTGGGGGCAAAAGGAGTAAGAAGGTCCAGAGGAATATAGTGGAGGACTCTGGGTGCATTGGAAGTGGGGGTTGAGAGAACCTGTATCTAAGAATGTGATTCTCTGATTTTGAGTCATATGCAGTGTGTAAACGTGTGTTACTGCAAAAAATACAGTTAAAAAAAAAACTATTTTAAACCAAGAGAAAAAAAAATAACTTCTCTCCTCCATCCATCACTGACCTCAGGACTTTGCCTTCGCCTCTTCACTGTCATGCCGGGTGAGGGGCTGGTTTCCCACAAGGTCAGAGGCAGGAGGTGCAGGGACTCCTGGGGCTGCTCAGATTCCGCTGAGTAGAGACACTGCAGAGAGGGCGGCTCTGAGGGGACCAGAGACAGAGGGTCAGAGTAACCCCAGTACTGAGTGAGGATCTGGTTCCCAAGGAGAGGGAAGCGTGCGTGTGTGTGTGTGTGTGTGTGTGTGTGTGTGTGACAGGAGAGACAGGCACACAATATAAGGCAATGGGAGGACAATTGCACATCAAGCTCGAGCATAAATTAATTCCAGTCCCACAGAGTGAAGAGTGTCAGGCAACACCCCAGCAAGTACAGTTCCGTGGAGCAGCAGGTTTGGAGCAGGACTTGAGGCAGCAGAGGATCTGGAGACAGGACGGTGTTGGGACTATTCCCATGGTTAGATGTAAGGATCCTGGATGGGGCCCTGCTGGGCTGTGGGGGCAGCTCCCCCTGACAGCTCCCTCTCTCCTCCTCTAATGCCCACTCCAGGCTCATCTCCTTTGGAGTCAGGGAGCTCCAGCCTGGCAGACCCTCTGTTTCCCAGGGGGTCACTGCCTCCATGGGCTGCAGCTACTTTCTCTCTAGACCAGAGCTGGAGGGAGTCCCACAGCGGGAGGGAGGAGTTTGTGCCCTGCTGGCCTGGCCCAAGGGCAGGATTAGCCCAGGTCACCCCAGTTCCTGAGCTGAGACTTTGTCTACAGTCCAGGAAGGGAGGAGAGGATAACCCTCCCTGTGCAGCAGGGAGAGGATCTCAGATAAACCCAGGCTGGTTCTCCCCTCCATCCCTCCCTTCCTCACCGCTGTGCTCAGGATGACTGTCCTGGTCTCCACTGGACGAGGATGCAGAATAAGAGTGTTGTTACCACATGAGCCACCAGGATTGGAGGTAAGTGTTTTCTGTTTTACTGTAATAGTTCTATTATCTTTTGTGGTTATGATTATGTGAAATAGAGAACTGTGGGAGAGGGAGAAAATGTTAACCCAAGCAAACAATAAAAGCAGGACAAAAAGGCAAAAATGAAACAAAATTAATATTTTACCTCAGCCCCCTAACCCCCTGCTGTGGCGCTGCAGTGACGAAGGGTTTCAGAGCTAAGGGGGCTGAGGCCTCAGTGTGGTCACAGCCCCTGGAAACATCCAGAGTGAGGGTTGGGTCCTCTTAGTGATGGGCGCCCACTACCTGCCCAGACAGCCATATGTGATTAAGTTGAATTTAAAAATTCCTCCTGATGTTGCTCTTGTGATGGAGGGAGATGAGGGGAGAGAGGAGGTGATGACAGGCTGGGACCGAGACTGCTGCAGAAGTGACCAGGTTCTGACCTCTGGGTTCAAACAGAGTAAATACAAATTTTCACATAATAGCCCTTGAAATACCTGAAATCTTTGTTCTTGAAGAGGGTAAATGCCACCAACAGACATTGTTTTCAGTATGTGTTTGATGGAAATGTCCTAACCAGTCATAACCAGAAACAAGAGTCCTCTGAGCTGCTTTTTGTTAATTAATTTCTTAACTCAAATGACCTGTATTTGGGGTGCCACCCTCCAGGCACTGGGGCACAGAGTGAGCAGTCCGGGGACTCTGTGTGTCTGTAACTCAGGGTCCAGCTGGAGACAGACCTGGGGAGCAAAGAGCAAGGGGACCCTGACCTGGGAGGAGCTGGGCCTCCTCCCTGAGAAGGTGAGAGGTGACCTGAGCCCCAGGGGGAGCAGGAGGTGACAGGGAGGTGAGTCACCCTGAGGAGACAGGGTAAGGGTCCTGGGTGTTGGGTGCGGGCGGGTCCAGGGCTGGCACGCGCAGGAGCTGGAGCTGCTGCAGCAGGTGCTGAGTGGCGTGGGCCTCTCCCTGGGCCTGGACTCCAGCCTGTCCCCCCAGCACACGGGTGGGACCCACACAGGGACTCCCCCCCAGAGCCTCAGTTTCCTCACCTGTGTGTGGTGAGGTTAGGGACCTGGTGAGGGTGGGGAGCTGATGCCTGTGAGTCTCAGCTCAGGGCCTGGCACATCGTGGACACTCAGGCCCTGTCTGCTCTCCTGGCTGCAGGGAAAGGGGTTGGGGGAGAAAGTGGAGGTGATGCCAGGCCCTGTGAGCCCTCCCTGCCGGGTGTGGGGAGCAGAGAAGGCAGGTGAGGGTCCATGTTGAGAAAGGAGTGGGGCACCTTAGGGAGCAGAGACTGGAGAGGGTGAGAGTGTGCGGGGCAGGGAGGAGGCTTCTATGGCATGACCAGTGCAGGTGTGGTCACCTCCACTCTGAGTCTCTCCTTTTCTGTTCGTTTGTTCCCCTTCCTCACCTACCTTGTGGGACAGGCATGACCTCAGGGCCACAACTGGACCCTCCTGGCAGAGGGGACCTACAGCATCTGCCTGGAGATAGGGGCCCCGGGGAGCACCTCCTGTGGCCACAGCTTCTGCCAGGCCTGTCACAGCCGAGTCACTCTCAGACCCACCGAGGAGTCATGTGCTGTCCATGCTGCCAGGAGCCACCCAAGAGGGAACAGCAGCCCCAGTGGGTTTGTCCTATAGGGGCAGATTGTCCTCTGGGGGCAGAATTGGCCAGTAGTCATTTTCCAGTAGCTACATAAATGAGGATCCCTGCAACCTTGTGCAATCAGTGGGGTGTGACTGACTTTGCTGAGGCCACTTCAGTAGCAAGGTTTGACACAAGCCACGGGGAGAGAGGCTCATGGTGTGCCAAGCCCCAAGCTCAACGTGCAGCCTGTGGGCATCCCTGAGCTCTGGCAGCGTTGTCCTGGGCTATACTGTGGCAGGTGGTAGACCGGCCTTGTGGGCTGTGATAGAGGGGTGCCTGCTCTGGGTGCTCAGGTGAGCATCTGGCCCTGCTGAAGCCCACTCCCATTGTGATTCCTGCTGCCATGGGGAGAGGGGACCTTACTGTGGGCAGCCTGTGGGCCTGTCAGATGGGCTCTGAGTGACAGCGTCCTGCACTCCAGGGTGAGACTACCTGACCTCAGGCATCTGGACACACTGGCAGGTGTTTCATTTATGAATACAGAGCCAGAAATGTAAATGGACCAATCAGAATCAAGCTCTTTCTCACGGGTGCCATTCAAGGTTTATGAGACCATTCATGGCTTTAAATGGACCAATCCGATTGGAGCTCAACTGGCACCAACCAAACAGCCAACTCACTCTCAGACCCACCCAGGTGCCACGTGCTGTCCATGCGGCCAGGAGCCACGCCAGAGGGAACAGCAGCCCCACTGGGTCCTGGTCAGCTTGTGCTCTGGCCCCAGCTCTGGAATCCAGGGACAAGAATGCAGCACAAGAATGGGGTTTTGTGAGCCGCGTGGAAAAAGCATATTTTTCTATTTCTGGAGGACTAGGAGGGTGTGGTTTAGAACGATCTTAACCACTATGGTCACCCAGTGCTGCAGAAGGGTCTTATAAGGTAAAATCTATTACCTTATAAGGTAAAGTCTATTACCTAATGTCATTCTGCATTTGTGACAAATCTTTGGTAACTTGCTCCATTATGGATTAACCCATACCATTCTAGAAAGATAAAGTTCTGCGTTTTTTTCTCTGCATTTGAAATATTTTATTTTTATTTTTTATATTTATTTTCTTCTGTCGTTGTTAGTTTTTAGACAGTATTTGATTTCTCCCCTCAGGTATAGTTCCCACAGTTCTCCCCCACCTTGGCATCGGTGATCTGTCACCACAGTGCGTTGTGCTCCTCCCTCCCCTGTGTGACTCCTACCCCTCGCCTGCTCTGTTGTATGCATCAGATCTACGTCAGCTTGTGAGGTTTATCTTCTTCTTGACCTTCGTTCATTTCTCTAATTCTCCCTATAAATAAAACCATCTGATATTTATCTTTTTCCTTCTGACTAGTTTCGCTTAGCATAATCCTTCGAGCTCCATCCATGTTGCTGCAAATGATGAAGTTTATCTTTTTTGATCTCTGAGTAGTATCGCATTGTGTCTATACCACATCTTCCTGACCTACTCGTCTGTGCAAATCAAAACCTCAATGAGACACCAATGCACACCTGTGAGAATGGCCCATATTAAAAACAAACAAACAAACAAACAGAAGCAACACATGCTAGTGAGGATGCGGTGGGAATGGAGCCTCTTCCACTGCCAGATTGCAAACTGCTCTGGCCAGTCAGTTCTAGAAATGATACCAGGTCTTCCATCTCCCTCATACTGTTTCCTCAGCTTGTCAGAGAGGAGGGTCTGTTTATCAGAGGCCGCTCACAGGTGCCAGCAGGAGGGTCTCTCAGTTTGGGGACCCTCTGACCCTGGGAGAGGGTATGTAGGGGTCACCAAATTACTGGCCTTTCTTTCCCTCAGGTGGAAGGGGGTGCGGTTTCCAGTCCCATAGCTGTGTCCTCAAGATGCTCACATGACTTATTACCCTTCATGGTACTTGTGATGAAACTGACTAGAGAAGTTATAACACTCAAAATGTGATAAGGTGGCACTATTGAGATAAGAGTCAGGATTCAAACTCAATTTTCCTTCATTTGAGATCATGTTCTTTGTTGCATCATGTTCTATAGCTTTTCACAGTGATCTGACAAAAACAACAGAATCCAGTTGAGGTTATGAGCCTACTGAAAAAAAAAACTTCCCTTAATAGGTTCACTCAATGGCAGAGTCACTCCAGGCAGGTTTCTGTCCCTTCTCCCTCTTTTAAATAAATCTCCCTCCACTGTGACCAACCCCCCATTTCTTCTTCCAGAGACCACGTCCTTTGACTGGGGGCAACACCAGGAAAATCCGGGAGCAGTTTCAGCAGCAGAAACAAGCACTAGGACCCGAGGTGAAGCCCCTGGTGAGCTAAAGCATGTGAATCACACCTGGGCCATAACCTGAGGAGGGGTGTCTCCTCCCCCTGAGTGATGCAAACATGGGAGCTGGTCGGCCCCTCCCTCCCCACTCTGTGGAAGTTCTGGTGCTGTGATCCCCACAGGCCCAGGAGAGGAGTCTCCTGAGACCGAAGTGTCCCTGAGAGTCATTCTCAGGGTCTACAGGGAGATAACCTGTAGATCTTGAGAAAAAGGCAATGTGACTACCTCTGTGGATTTTAATTATGTATACAAAAACTTTTGTAAGATTAGAGAATGTAAATTTGTCATGTCACTGATGTTCATGTCTACTTGAAATCTTCTTTGATATTCTCCAACCATAAAATGTAAAATTTCCACCTGGTAAAAGAACAAAGAAATACTTGACAACAACTAGGTCTAGGCCATTTCTAAGTATATTAAGTGAGATCAACGTCAAACTAGGAGAATCAATAAAAGAAAACTTAAAGGAGAAAATTGGAGTTTTACGGAGATTATAAATCTACTGAACAAACTACTTCTTCATGTGCCCAAGGAAGTGTGTTGTAATTTACTGGACAATTTTGATGCCAAAAACTGGCCTCTTAACCTCAGCCAACAAAAGGAAACAGAGTTTGAGGAGAAGGAAAGTAGTTTAATTTGTCTATAAACTGAGGTGGGCAGAAGACTCATGTCTGAAATACCACTGTCCTGCTCTTTGGCAGAGGGCAGGGGTATTTATGAAAAGGAGTAAAAAACAGGGGAGGTGGGCAAGGGTCTGCAAAGGGGAGACAGGAAGGGTAGGCATGTCCTCTTGATGCAGGCACATGGAGATCTGGGGGGATTGGCAAAAGTCACTCTGTTTTGTTAACCCTTTGGTGTTTAATTTCCATATTATCATCTGAGGAATGTTCTTTCTTTTTCTTAGAATACAGGAAGACAAACTGTTTAAACAAACAAACAAACAAACTTGTTAAGAGAAAAGAGACACTCACCAAAACAGACATCTACTGATTGGGAGAAAATTTTGCACACAGTACAACAGATAAGGGACTGGTTACAAAGATCTACAAAGAGCACACAGAACGCAACAAAAACAAAGTAAACAATCCAGTCAAAAAATGGGCAGAAGAACTTAAGAGACACTTCTCCAAAGAGGAAATGCAAACAGCCAATAGGTATATGAAAAAATATTCAACATCACTTATAATCAGGGAAATGCAAAATCAAACCACAATGAGATACCATCTTACACTAGTAAGAATGGTACATAATTAAAAAATGAAAACAGGGGCCTCCCTGGTGGCGCAGGCAGTTGAGTGCCGCCGTGTAGCTGTCCGCAGCCTCTGCTGCGTGGGTTCGATCCCGGCCGGCCAGCGAGAATACCACATGGCGAAGTAGACCTCTCCTGTCTCGCCTGCTGCTCCCCTCAGCAGTGTATTTCGTCAGTCTGCCTGTTCTGTTCCCCACTCTGTCTCTGGTGAATCTTCTCACCCTCCTGCATATCTGGACTGTACCCCGCTTCTTGTATAAATAAATAAATCTTAAAAAAAAAATGGAAACAAATGTTGGTGAGGATGTGGGGAAAAGGAACTGTCCTCCACTGCTCATGAGAATGCAAACTGGTCCAACCACTATGGAAAGCTGTGTGGGAGCTCTTCTGCCTACTAAAAATGGAGCTACCATATGACCCAGCAATTCCACTCCTAGGAATCTACCCAAAGGACACTAAAACATTAATCCAAAAGGATACCTGCACCCTTATGTATATTGCAGCACTATTTACAATAGGTAAGCTATGGAAAAAACCCAAATGCTCCAAAACAGATGACTGGATCAAGGAGATCTGGTACATATACATAATGGAATACTATTAGCAATCAAAAAGATAAACTCATGCCAATTGCAGGTACATGAATGGAGCTGGAAGGGATTATGCTCAGGAAATAAGTCAGAAGGAAAAAGAAAAATATCAGATGGTTTCACTTACAGGAGGAATATAGGGGAACCAAATAAGGGATCAGGCAAAAAAACAATAATAATTTAAGAAAACAACAAAATTAGGCAACCATATATCAGAGACATTCTGCCAGGGAGGGCAGGGAAAAGGGATCAAAACAGGGGAGAGAGGAGCACAGGGGACTATGGTAATGGCTCACAGGGGAATTGCTGGTGGGAATTTTATGGGCAATACACAATGGTGTAAAAGATATAAATAAAAAAACAAATTAATAAAAAAGATTAATTATAAAAAAAAAGGCACAGGGATGCTTCTCTGGAGGGGCAGGAAAAGAGACTGTCACTGTATCACCTTCTGTGGGTCAGGCCTGTTGAGACATAATTTCACATCTTCCCAACAATAATCCATCAGGCACCTTCTATCCTTGATAAAGAAAATGATGCTCAAAGAAACACCCTATGTTCCCCTCCCACTGCCTGGAGTCTGCTGAGCCAGAAGCCCCCCAGCCCTGGCACCCCCTGGGGTCTCATAGTCTGTGCCCCCACCCCCAAGGGCTGCCTCTCCAACCCCACAGCCCTGAGCCCAGGAGACACGTGGACCAGACAGACCCAGAACAACACTGGCTTCCCCAGGCCTGGGTAGGAGGGACATGCAGGTAGGGGACCCCCATGTTTAGCCCACTGTTCTCTCCCTCCCAGGGGGACCTTCATAAGGTCACAGAGTAGTGGAAAAGGCAGGGCTGCCAGCACCTCTGTGTGAATATTTTGTGGGGGCCAGGCAGAACCCAATACCCACACCCCAGGGGTCCAGGATCTAATTCCTGGTGATGGGGTCTGTGTCCTGCTCCCAGGACTGGTGAAAATACCACGCAGAGCTGCCCTGTGCACACAGCCTAAAAGGAGGGGCAGAGGGGCTTATAGAATGACCTAGGTGAGACTCTGGATCCACATCCAGCTACTGGAGGGACAGTGACCCTGAGCCTGCGGTATGATCCTCATCAGCCCCCCAGAGGGGCACCCTGACTGGGCTGTCTCCCCTCTGGGCAGACTCGGCCAGTGGGCATTTTCCTGCAGCCACATGACCTGAGGCTGGAAGTGGTGACTGTCCCTGCAGGGCGTGTGCTGACACCTGGCATCTTCCTTCTCTGCTCAGCCCTGAAAGTGACACTAAATAAGGGAGGGGACGCTCCAGACAGTCAGGGCTGCGGGACATGTGAAGACTTGAGCTGGAAAGATCTTCACGGTCATTCTCACTATACCTGTGAGGGGATCAATGAAAAGACCGTCAGGCCAGTGATGGCAGAACCTGGACACAGCCGGGACCCTGACTCCCCATCCCTGCTCATCACCTGATGCCTGAGGAAGGACAGAAGCTGAGGGTCCTGGAGAGGAGCTGGACACTCACCTCCCCCTGCTCTTCCCTCATAGAAAACATAGGGCCCAAATGGAGACAAACATGTAGGTCACAGGAAGCCATTTATCTATAACGAGAATATTCCTTTTCCTGGGTTGAAGGTAATTTACAGTATTTGACTATAAGTTTTACAGACTGATGACAATATTCATTTAAGAATATTCATTTAAGTAGCAGAAGGTATCTGTTTTCTCTGCAAACATTTCAAACCTTCTCACTAAAAGGTTATTGTTATGACAGAATTCTGGTAGGGAGCCAGGCAGCACTCAGAGAGGAGGAGGGAAGATCTTTACTTACAGGGCAACCCCAGAGATTTTTCTCCAAAGTCTGAGCCCCAGGCAATCAGGTAACAGAGTATTTATTGCCCAAGCAGGGGCACATTTGCACCTGAAGCAAGCAGGGGGAACAGAAGCGGGAGACTCCTGAGCAGTTATCTAGGGTGCATAAGTCAGGTGTGTGGCCTTGAGAGCATTTATCAGTAACCCCCTGGATCTTTAGTCTACATTGTGGCTTTGTCTCAACATAGCTTCAGCTAATGAACAGGTCAGTCTGCCATTATTAGTACAGAGGGAAAATCAGGCAGGAAGTTTCAAATCAAAAGGACACTAACTTTTGGAGTTGGTGGTGTCCTGGGTGGTGAAGTGACATAAACACTGTTGTTATAGCGTGGGGAGGATTTCAGGACAGACACCCTGTGGATGCAGCACAGGTACAGGAGGAAGCTCTCCAGGGTGAGGCCTGTGAAGCACACCTGTGAGAGACCTAGTGAGGGTCCACAATCAACGCAGATGATCCTAATCTATAGACAGTTATTAAATATTTGTGAATGAAACCATGACAGACCAAAGCTTGAAGGCCTGTGGTGGGAAACAAATGGCTTGAAAAGCATCATGGGAAAGTTTCATAATCTTTGGTGAAGGAAATGACTTAATTTTTTAAATAAGTGAAGATTTCCTTTTAGTAAACAGCAGTCATGGCCGTCAACCCAGAGAGAGGCCAAAGGACAAGCAGGATTTGTGAACTGCAGGTGGAGTGTCACCATCAGGCAGACCCTCTGGCTTCTGCAGCCACAGATAGTGAGGATGGACATTAAGGGCAGAGATGCTCAGAGACCCCCCCCTCCCCATGTGGATACTGCAGACACGGGGGTAAGGTCACCTCCAGGGCCCCATTAGAGGTGCTCTTGCACCTGAGGGAGCAGGATAGAAGGAACTGAACACACTGCTGTGGCCTCTGTGGCGTCAATGAGGTATAGACTCCTTTTTCTGAGACTCATTTCTCTCCTGTGAAGAAGCAATTCCTCTGCCTTTGCTTCCAGAGTCACCATGAACAGTGAAAGTGCTCTTTGTATACTGTAAGGTGATACTAAATTCAAGCTGTTTCTATAATAGTCATTAATAATAAGGACATCTCCAGTTCCGCTGGATAAAACTGAGCCACAGGTCACTCCCTCAATCTGCCCTGCGTCTACCCTGGGTCAGTATCTGGGGCCTTCTTTTCATCCGTGACCCTGACCCTCAGTCTCTCTGTGGCAGGAAGCGGTCCTGGCCCAGGACACTGTGCACCTGGAGCGCCTGCTCTCCGAGAATGGGACATGTCACTGTGATAGTCTCTGTGCCAGGGCCCGTGTTCATCCCCAGAGATAGGACACCAGCCCTAGTGCTGGGTATAAGGGTCCCTCCCTGCCCTGCCAGGGACACACTGCTGTAGTGACACTGTCATAAGAGGACACTGCAGCTTCAGTGGCTGCAAAGTCATTGACAATAAAGGGCCCACTTTCCCTCTGTAGGAGGAGGGCATCTGGGTGTGAGGGTCACCAGGGGACAGGTCTGGGCTCTCACATCCCAGAAACCAAACTGATCCTGTATGAAAATCCCCAACGACAGAGGTGACCTTGGATTTCAAAAAAGGACAGGCGACCATCACTAGAACAGGAAGAACAGGCCATCATTTTTACTTTTCAGGATCTTTCACAGGGAAAACAGCCCCATTCCTTGGCCTCTGTGGACCAGGGCACAGCTGACCCTGTGATCCTGGCAAGGACACGGCTTTCCCATGGCCACTCATGAGAACTTGCTCAGAGTTAATTAACTACCAGCTCAGGGCTCCTGTCATGTTCGTCCCACATTGGATCAGTGTAGGAACAGGTATATCATCCTCCCTGCACCACATCTGTGTGGTTCATGAGGATGGAATGTCTGTGTCATCCGGGGTCACTGGATCCGCCCACTGATGATAGTAGGATCCATGGCAGGTGCTCCAGGTCCTAATCATCATCCATTTCCAATCACAGACCTCACCTAGATCCCCCACTTGCTGGGGACCAGCCTCCGGCAAAATGTCATGTCAGGGGTTCCTGAAAGGATGAGACGGCGTCGGCGAAAACGAAAGGGCTGAGAGGAAGGGGATGAGGTAGAATGAGGAGACACTGACACTTGGTGAGGTGCTAGTATCTTCTGCCGAGAGGCTCAGCAGGTTCTTTATTTATACATTTTTTGCAAGCAGTGAGATGACATTATCATGTGCATAGAACAAAGCAGAAACAATCAGTGCATCTCTTTTTCCATGGGCTTTTGGCCACTACGTGCTCTCAGCAAGAAGGCAACCTTCAAGGTTAAAAAAACTAAGCCTTACACTAAAACTCATTGTTTCAGCTAAACAGTAACCTAAGACAGTGGATAGCTGCCAGTACATCCCTATCAGCTAAAGCCTAAGCAAGAAAAGACTTTTCTTATCCTCATGGCCTTCACACCAGGGGCTGGCTGCTACTCAGCTATCAGAACTTTTTCTACCTAGAAACTCCTTAACTCAAATAGCTTCATTTAAACACTTTCCCAAGAAACTTCAAGAGAAGGCAAAAGAAGGACCTACTATAATTATTGTATTGTAATGCTTGTCAGGCATGTTCAACAAACCATCTCCCATTGTCAAGTGGGCCAAACTGCCCAACAACTAATTTCTAAACAAACAATTTTTTGTGCTATTTACTGACAGTATGCTGATACATATAATTCATTGCCTAATATACTTCCTGATAAATTTTCTCTCTCTATGACCAAGAACAAAAAGCAAAGGGATGTCAGATCTTCAGCCCCATGGTGTGAGGCCCTTTCTCTTAGCTGCTTGTCAGTATCCTATCTG